GGCTGAAGACGACTTATGAATGATATACGAAAGGATCTACGGATGCACGACGATAATGATTCAACAAGACTAACAGAAAGAGGTGGCGGGGAAATAGCAGAGTGGCGATCCGTCGGTTAGTCCCAGCACAAGGATGATGATTTCTCATGTGGAGGAGGGGTCAACAAATCGATTACTAGTTGATTAGATAAATAGATCTGCGTGGGGTGGACCACAAGCGTGAGTATATGTGGTGCAGGCTTGATAGGGTCCTCCCAGTCTTCAATTGGTAGCTTTGGAAGTGGTAGAAATTATTCGTTAGTCTCACTGGCCTGCTTTCCTCGTTATTCCCGGTCTAGCTAGACACCTTGGTCATGATTGTTCATTGCAGGCGATAGTTGGGATTGCATGATAGTCTCAACCCCAGCCGGAAAAGTCGGCGAACACAACGGCCGAAAAGAAGAGAATGGTGGGAGGCTTGCTTCTAGAAGACCGGAATTTCTTGGGTTTGTTTGGGGGAGCTATAGCTCCGATGGCGATTGTCGTTGCCTAATAATTGCCACTCAAGCACAACATGCAGTCAAGCGAGGGGTGCGTGTCCAAGATGGGTTGCTGGATAACAAAGCGTCCAATCGGAGAGGGCTCGCCTTACCTGTGAGTGTAGATACTCAGCCCCAAAAAACCTGCCAACACATTATCATGGGTGGGTAGTATGCTTCACGATAGGGGCAAGATATCGCCCAAAGAGGTGTCCCGAGAATACGGGAGTAGGTGTATCGAGCGTGTGGGACCGGCTGGCTGATCGCGATGCATCCCCCATGGCGTGGGAGTGGTCATCTGAGCATCTGAATTTTTCTCCCCCTTTCTTCTTGGATGTTTCCGTTGGGTCTCCCTCCGCCGACAGCTCAAGTGGCTCGGCGACTTGGCCGCAACCGGGCCACCCGAATCCCCCAGTTCCAGACTAGGTTTTGCTTGATACGGTGGGGGTGGGGGCGGGCATTCTCCAAGGGCGAAGCACGACCGTTTGAAGTAGGGAACGGTGACCGTCTCCGCGAATCTGGCATCCGGAGAAGGGATGATAGGACCAGTCTGCTTACCGCAGTTACGGTCGAAGCCCCTGGGTCCGGGTATATCAAACTAGGTTCACCGGGCCCGCTGCGCCGCCCCTCCCCCCGCGCCATACGGTCGTGCTGCCAGCCACTACTGTGCTCTAGAGGCTGCCTAGATGATTAGCTAGGAGCCACTACGATGTGCACTACGATGTGCTATCACGGCCTCGAGGCGAGCTTGGGGAAGACAGGACATGTGCACAGCTCCCTGGGCGTCTTCTCTCTGGACCGACCCGGGCAATTGGAGAGCCTGCTGGTTGTCGAAGGAAACCCCGAGAAACAGGCGAGGCCGAAAAAATAGATGGTCACGAGGCCTGAGCTGCCTCTGCGTTCCTGAATTGCCCCATCTCGAAGGCGACGAGATCAGCACGCGCTGTATCCACATCCACAGGGCTCCCCCCTGCAACATGCCACCTGTAGTAAGTGGGGTGCATGGTGTCCTCGAAAGAGCACCAGGGTTCGACCTCCGATGGGTGGGATGGCACTGGATGGCATCAAGTCGTGGCCGGCTCCTGGCCTTGGGATGGCCACACATATCTGCTGTGCTCACATCCAGATGCAAGCACTCCCACACGTTTCATGGCCTAGACCGTCCCGTGGTGCAGCCTTCACGCATCCGGCCTGAGACACAGCGCCCTGCCCCCCGCGCCTTTAACCTTTCTTTTTTGTCTTATTGTCCGGTGGTAGCATCTTCCAACGGTGCTTAATTCGGGATCCTACCTTCTTGTACGGTACGACGGGGCTGAAGATTTTGATTCCTTCCATCGAGCCCCCCTCCATTGTCCAACATGTACGACTATAACAAACCCATCAAGCCCATGCTGTGAGTCCTCCCTCTGGCTCTTCTTTCCCTCATCACTTCCTCATCTTCACCACCGCTCACGTCGCCTTTTTCGCTACTCCCAAGCCAAGCCTTTGATTTACTTCAGCCTTCCCCAAGTTACTATCACCACATAGATAGAATTTAATTCAACGTTCCCCCACACCAAGCCTGCGACCCCTCCTCTGCTCTCTTTGGGCCTTCCGCTTACCAGTTGTCCAAAATGGATAGGCCGGCAAATGTTCTGGTATGGAACTCTCCTCTCCCCAAGACGGGTTATCGCCACTTCAGGACATACAATGAGGCCGACTAGCTAGAGTTTAGTTACGGCGTGGTCCTGAAGCTCCCGTCCCCAGCCCATCATACTTGGTAGAGACGCAATACTGATTTGTTGGGTACCATACAGGACCATTACATTGGTATAGATGTTGGCACTGGCTCGGCCCGCGCTTGTATAATTGACCAGACTGGTGATATCAAAGCTTTGGCGACAGAGAACATCAAGCTATGGCAGCCTGAGACGGGCTACTACGTACGGCAGGATTCCTACCTCTCCTGCAAATCTTGCCATACTGACACACTGATAGGAACAATCGACTACTGATATCTGGAAATGCATCTGCGAGTGTGTTCGCCGCGTGGTGACCGAGTCTGCGGTCGACCCCCAAACGATCAAGGGCATTGGCTTTGACGCCACCTGCTCCCTGGCAGTTTTCTCCACTGACACGGATGAGCCCGTCCCGGTCACTGGTCCAGACTTCAAGAATGATGGCGAGGATCGCAATGTCATCCTCTGGCTCGACCATCGCCCCGTCCAGGAAACGGAGAAGATCAACAACACAAAGCACAAGCTGCTCAAGTACGTGGGTGGCCAGATGAGCATCGAGATGGAGATCCCCAAAGCCCTGTGGCTCAAGAACAACATGCCAGCCGAGCTGTTTGATCGCTGCAAGTTCTACGACTTGACCGATGCCCTCACCCACATGGCCACTGGGAACGAGACCCGGAGCTTTTGCAGCACCGTCTGTAAGCAGGGATACGTTCCTGTGGGTGTCGACGGAAGCGAGAAGGGCTGGCAGCAGGATTTCTTCGAGACCATCGGTCTGGGCGATCTTGCCAAGGATGACTTTAAGCGGATGGGTGGCGTTCACGGAGTGGTAAGCTTTCTCCTCTCTCCTTTTCCCCCGCCCTGTTGAGCTCAACAAATGTGCCTTTTTTTCCTCCTATCGACATCGCTGTTCATTGCCATTTTTGGCCAATGTAGAGGCATGATCGATCGGTTGCATCCCCCCTCCTTTGTTGGCTTCCCCGCATGTGACCACCATGCAAAGGCGATGCAGGGAGGAAAGTATAATACCGTCCGTCGAGTTCCAAGTGGGGCGATGGGCAGAAGCTGACAGACCTGCCGTGCTCTCCAATACCTAAATGGGCAATTAATCGCTAACCTGGCAATCCTGCAGAATGGCACCTATGCCAGTGCTGGTGAATACATTGGCCCTCTCAGCCGTCAGGCTGCGCTGCAGCTTGGTCTGCCCCAAGACATTCCCGTTGGTAGCGGTGTCATTGATGCCTATGCTGGCTGGATCGGCACCGTGGGCGCCAAGGTCGACCTAGGTGACGATGAGCTCAACGCCAATGCTCCGCACAATGATGTTGTCCAGGCCTTCAGCCGTCTGGCCGCCGTTGCGGGCACTTCGACCTGCCACTTGGCCATGTCCAAGAACCCCGTCTTCGTTCCTGGCGTCTGGGGCCCTTACCGGGATGTCGTTCTCCCCGAGTTCTGGCTAGCTGAGGGCGGACAGTCAGCCACTGGCGAACTGCTTCGTCATGTCCTCGATGTTCACCCAGCTTACAACGAGACTCTGGCCCTCGCCAAGGCGGAGGACAAGCACATCTACGACTTCCTCAATGCTCACCTCAATTACCTGACTGAGAAGGCCAATGCCCCAGCCGTCTCCTATCTTGCTCGCCACTACTTCTTCTACGGTGACTTCTGGGGTAACCGATCCCCCATTGCAGACCCGAACATGAGAGGTTCCATGATCGGCCTCGACAGCGACAAGAGCACCGACAACATGGCTATGTGGTACTATGCCACCATGGAGTTCATCGCCTTCCAGACACGCCAAATCATCGAGCAGATGAACAATGCCGGCCATGCGATCACCTCCATCTTCATGTCTGGCTCTCAGTGCCAGAACCCCATCCTCATGTACCTCATGGCGACCATCTGCGGCATGCCAGTCCTGATCCCACGGTATGTCAACGCAGCCGTCGTCCACGGTGCGGCGATGCTGGGTGCCAAGGCCGCCAGCCACACCGGCAGCTCTGAACCTGAATCACTCTGGAGCATTATGGACCGCATGAGCAAGCCTGGCCGACTTGTCGAGCCTGGCACGGATGAGGGCGAGAAGTCGCTCCTCAACGCCAAGTATGAGATCTACCTGGAGCTCTGCAGCCAGCAGCAGGCCTACCGAAAGAAGGTCGACAAGGCTGTTGAGAAGTGGGTGGGCGAGTTCGGCAACGACACCAGCGTCGAGTAGAGCACGGCTTGCAATTTGGGCTGCTAGAAATGAAAACAATAGGATAGGGAACGACGACGGATGTGTTGTCGTGGCTGGGGTTCTGATTTAGAAAGTACATACATACATGGCTGTGCGGGATGGGATATGATAGCGAATAATGGTAATGACTGGACACAAAATGATGGGAATATATTAAATAAGTACGAGTAATTAAGAATCACTTTTTGAATTTGAGTAATTAGTAGATTCCAAGTATTGTTCATGTTGCCATGGACAAGGAAGTTTCGCCAGGGAGCCAAAACAGTGGTTGATCCTTGCGCGGCGTCGGTGATTGGTCCAAGCTCTACTGGCCCCCAGTTCCATGTTTTCCCAAAAATTTATAGCTGACCTGCACCTACGCAGCAGCCAAACACAATCTGGAGACGCGCCGCTTCCAACCACGAATCCGACGAATGCCAACGGCGATTTAACCTCGACGAGATCCCGGCCATCAATCGGCCCATCCATCGCGCATCCATTGAATAACCTGGTTTTGAGCCTCTGACCTTGAGCTTCGACACCGCAGCCATGTCGCTCTTTGGGCAGCCAGCAACAGGGACGGGGTTCGGCCAGAGCACGGCAGGAGCAGCAGGAGGCGGTCTCTTTGGTCAGAACAAGCCGGCAGCAGGAGGTGGCTTGTTTGGACAGCCTCAGCAGGCCCAAGCTCAGAACCAACCGGCTGCTGGGACGGGCGGCGGGCTCTTTGGACAGCCTGCACAGCAGAACCAACCACAACAACAACAAGCGGGAACAATGGGCTCGTCTCTGTTCGGAGGCAACAATGCAGCCACTCAACAAAACACCGCTGGAGGCGGGCTGTTCGCAGCGGCGGCCCAGAATCAACAGCCCCAGAAACCATCCCTGTTTGGTGGTGCCTCGACGAATCTCTCTGGTCCGACTCTCTTCTCTACCGCCACTCCTGCGATCCAGCAACCTCAGCAAATCAACCAACCGCTGCTCGGCACGAGTCTCCTGGCTAGCCAAGCCCCGGGTGGCCTGGCCCAGACACAATCCGCGACACAGAACCAGCCCGCCGGCGCTTACTTTGATAGTCTCCTAGCGAAGAGCCAGAAGGGTGGAGAGGCCAAGTCGAACATGGGAGACCTCCCAAGTCTGGAGCTGGGCCTGGGTGACCTGCGTCACCGTCTGAGGAAGCTGCAGTCCAAGCCCAGCGACAGACCCTTGGATGGAAAGGCCCATTACCTCCTCGCTGCCTCTGGTGTAGACCCTGGAGCGGCGGCAAAGGACCTCGGACTGCTGGACGTTCAAGGTGGGCGGGCCGATCGTGCAACCCACGCCGGCTACGCACCAAGCGAAGTGGACGTCGAGACGTACCTCTCGAACCTGCAGACAAAGACGACATTGAGCATGATTGCGGACGGGCTGGAACGCTCCGTGCGAGACTTTGACAACTTCCTCGAGGACAACGTCACGATGGAATGGGACGCGCAGCGAAAGCGAATCTATGAACACTTTGGCATCAAGCCCCGAGAGGAGGCTGCCCCAGGCGTACGCGAGTCTCAAGGAGCATTTGGCCGATCGCGCAGAAGCAAGTCACAGGCTGGTATGTCCAAGGCTGGGAGGAGCAGCATGCTGGGCAAGTCCCTGGGGCGGTCTGTTATTGGTGCTCCCACCCGCATTGGCCCTCACCAATCCGAGTTCTCTGATGTCGAGAGGTCTTCAAGCGATAAGTCTAAGGGCCCTGGACGACCAATCGACGACAAGGTCCAGCGTGAGAGGCAGGCTAGGCTTGCTGAGAAGGTCCGCCACCTCAATGCCAGCCGCATCATGAAGAGACCTTACCCCATCATCTCGGAGCTGGCTGAGGTTGAAAGGAAGTCGGTTGAGCCTCATGCTATACACGTGCACGAGGCCTACCTGGCCCTGTCTGAAATTGTTAGCGAGAACCGTGATGCTGAAACCACCCTCAACAACGAGACAGCTAAGGAACGAGAGTATGCCGGTATTTACTTAAACGACAATCCCAACTCACCCCAGTCACTGGCGATGAGAAAGCGCATCCTCGAGGGCTCATCGCGCTTCCTTGAGATTCAGTTCCTTCGTGAGGTTGAAGCGCTCATCGCAAAGCACCCTCATGAGGCTAAGCTTGGAGGTCTTCCCGACATTCAGAGCAAGATCAGAGCATACATTCGTCTAAGGTCGGCCCGAAAGGACTTGGTGCCAGATGACAGCTCTCTCATCGTTGTGGGCGGTGAACCCATTTGGGCGGTCGTCTTTTACCTGCTGAGATCCGGGCAGGTGGAGGAGGCGGCCAGATACATCAACGACAATGGAGGTGCGTTCAAGAGCACCGATAGGACATTCTCGACATACATGAACAACTATGCGGCAAGCGACGACAGGCGCATCACGAGCAAGAAGCTCCTTGATCGCTGCAGAAACGAGCTCAACTCCCGCATCAAACTCGACGCTACACTGGACCCCTTCAGGAGGGCTTGCTACCAGATTATTGGCCGTGCCGAGTTGAGCAACCGCAGCCTGGAGGGTCTGAACACCGACATCAATGATTGGATCTGGCTCCAGTTCAGCCTAGCACGGGAGGGCGACAAGACTATCGAGATGGCGGGCGAGTCCTACGGGCTGGTGGAACTGCAGGCCAGCATTCGGGAAATTGGCCAGAAGCATTTCCCAAAGAATCCTTCCGAGGACAACAACGGCAGCTTCGGTATGCTCTTCTACCTCCAGATCCTCGCGGGTCTCTTCGAGGATGCCCTCGCATACCTGTACCCCTTTTCGTACATTGATGCAGTTCACTTTGGTATCGCGCTCGAGTTCTACGGCCTTCTCAGGCCCAGCGATGCCATGCTCGAGTCCAACGACCTCCGAAGCTACAGCACCAAGAATCTCCCCCAGATCAACTTTGGTCGCATGATTGGGTACTACACCAGGGATTTCCGAGCGGCAGATGTCGAGTCTGCCGTGGACTACCTGACCTTGATCTGCCTGAACCAGGATCTCGGCGGAGAGGCTGGTCGCCGTCATGGTAGCCTGTGTCACGAGGCTCTGAGAGATTTGGTCTTGGAAACACGCGAATTCAGCCAACTGATTGGAGATATCCGACCCGACGGACGCCGCATCAAGGGTATCATTGAAGAGAGGGGACCTTTGATTGGCCTCGATGTGGAGGATGACTTTGTCAACACGGTGACGTTGCAGGCAGCCAGCTTTGCTGATGAGAACGGGCGCACCACAGACTCAGTTCTGTTGTACCACCTTGCGGGAGAATACGACACGGTTGTCGCGATTGTGAGCCGGGCACTTAGCGAGGCCATCTCACTAGACATTGGCGAGGATCCTATGCGACTGATGCCGGTCAAACCCAGGGCAGGCCCTTCGGCGGAGAATCTACAGGGAAGCAGCCTTAGTTTGGCAGCCATCGATGATCCTGTCGAGCTTGCCAAGACGATGATGTCCATCTACGAAAAGAATGCCATGTTCTACCCGAAGATCCAGGATCAAAGCAAGGTGGCTTGCGGTGTCCTGCTCGAGATGAGCAACATCAAGAGCCTGGTTGAGGCTAGCCAGTGGGCACCCGCTCTAGACGTACGTACTCAAAATTTACCCAAAGGACTTGTTTCATTGCTAATTCTTTCCATGACAGAAAATCCGAGCGCTCCAGATCCTACCACTGGAGGCCAACGGCGACGCCAGCATCATCCGTGCCTACGCCTCCAAGTTCTCCGGTCTTCCACAGCCAGTGTCTATCAATGTGCCTAACCTACTCATGTGGACAGTTGTCTGCTGTGTGCGGCAGAGAGAACAGCTGAGCAACGGACAGTTTAGCGGGAACGAGGGGACCAGAAGGCTGATGGTCGAGCAGCTGAAGCAGATTACGCTCGACCTCACTACGTACACCAGCCAGCTGCGTTACCGCTTCCCACCGCATTTGCATGAGGCTCTAGCTAGGGCTTCTGCGGAATAGAAGAATGGAATAGACAGGTTTAGGAAGAGGCGCTAATTGTTGGGAAGATGGGAAATTGAGATATTGTGTGAGTGAGAGGGTTAGTAATTAGATTCCGGATGGATAAATCATAAGAGTCTCGCTTAGAGCCAAAGTTGTTCCCCTGGAGCGTATGTGATTGCATGGTGCTGCGGCTGTTGAACAAGATGAGATGATGAACAAGCTTGCCAAGCATTGGAGCACAGTCGGCAGTATCCGTTGTGAAACTTTGGGGCAGGGCTGCTAGGCGCATTCCAAGAGATCAATTGCTACAGTGGGTTAGGTTTTCCATCAGATGGCCGCATGGATGCTCTGAACCTTCCAATTTACTTCTTGTGCGAGGTACGAGGCTGTACCTGGCCTGCGGTCCCAACTCTGAGCCCGGTGGCAGGAGACGGAGGAGACGGATGTACCCGCGGGTAGCTCGTCCGAACTCTTTTCGTCGCTCCTGCCTGGTCTCTTGATGGGCGCGCACGGGCCAGGCGAAGTCTCTTCATGACTCGAAGAGCCAGTGGCTAGACCTGTTCATATGATTCAACGCTTCCCGTCTCATAGGCCAGAGCGCGTTTCCTCCTCATTTTTCACCTCCCCCTTGCCCATCGAGTCCCTCCTTCTTGGCCGAGTGCAGCTCACCAGAGATCGAGTCCGTCCAGCCCAGTCCCGGCCTGTCCCCAGTTCCCACTCCACCCTACGTGAATCCCGTCCCGGTCTTGCTTCTCGTGCGGGTTTGCTGGCCCGAGATTGGTGGCGGATCTTGAGGACAAAGATCCCCTTGTTCTTGTTCCAGCTCTCTGCTCCCACCCCCAGATTTTCAAGAGGGTCTGCTGGGCCCTCCCCCACATACTCCCCCCCCAAGTGAACCCCAAACCGAGGGCAGCAGAAGAGGGGGACAAGTCATTTCTTGGCCATTCGTGCTCCCTTCTCTCTTTCCATTGCTGTCGTTTTTCCCTTTCGTTTTTCTTTTTGTTTCTTGAGTCAACAGCCCGGTTCCGTAGGGGGGGTGTGGCCCGCTTTGGTCGCCCATTAGGAGCGCCTTATCGCGCGACACACCACACAGGCTGGGTCCTGTCCGACGTCAAAGCGGCTTCTGTTACGCGCCCTTCTCTCCATCGAGTGGTCGGTTTCATTCGGTACCTTGCAGGTGGTACCGTCACAGGGTCCCTGCGTGACGTGTGCCGTGCTATCGGTCGTGCACAATACAACCGTTACACAATCCCCAGGTTGTTGCCGAACGGCTCTCCCCCAGGTGGGACAGGTGCGAGCCGCCTCCTCCCGCCAATCTGCGGCGGCCTTCTATCAACCTCTCTCTCCTTGCTGAGCGGAGCACACGCGCCACCCCGTCTGGAACGCGGTTAATTGAGCGCCCACGGGTTGGCGATGGCGTCCGCGACCGAGGAGCTGGTCGTCCAGAGCCCTGACGGGGCGTCCATTGCCGGCGACAATAAGAAGAGGGAGGCGTCTCCGGAGCCCGACATCGCCGATGCTGCCGCCCAGGAAGCCGCGAGGAAGAAGAAGAAGACCGGGCCCGGCAGCAGAGGGGTTGCCAACCTGACGCCGGAGCAGCTGGCTAAGAAGAGAGAGAATGGTATGGCTTACTTTACCTATATTTTATATTTGCTGTCACATGTTTTCGAAACACGGCCAGTTCCAAGTGCTGTTCTTGCCCCCGTCAGCCCACTCCCTGCCCCGTTTCTCTCTCTTATTTTCGGAGAACCCCGACCCGTCAGCTCTTCGCAAAATGTGTTCGGCTTGTGATGTGCTAATGCTGTTTCGCAGATCGTGAGGCCCAGCGAGCTATCCGTAAGCGGACCAAAGAACAGATTGAGACGCTCGAGAGGCGCATCCAGGACTTGACTAGTCAGCAGCCCTACCAAGAGCTTCTTGCCGTTCAGAGGGCCAAGGAAGCCGTTGAGCAGGAAAATATAGAGATCAAACGGCGACTAGCCACTATTATCGGCGAACTTCAGCCGTTGCTAGGAAACAGTATGCTCATCTATCTACAACATTGACAAGGAAAGCCCCATGTTAACGGATTCCTGCAGTATCAGATCCCAGCCGCTTATACGCGTCCCCATCTCAGACATATGCGCCGTCTGTGCCAAATGTTGCTCCACCCCCGGCACCAATGAGTGTCCACAATGCCTCAACACCTGGAAGTGTCCCGTCCCCTAGCAGCACGGACATTGGCTCGCAGAGCTGGCAGAGTGCTGGCAATCAAGGCGAGCAGGCCAGGATGCAGCTCAACCAGCAGCGACATGAAATGCGACACGGGCTGGACATGGGCCCCGAACGTCTCGGGCTCAACTTTCTTCTTGAGAACAACCAGCGCGTAGCCAGAATCCACAATGGCGAAAATAGTGCTCAAGACACTCCACGATATCACCATGTGCCCATGCGGCATGACTGGACGGACAACCGCAACGACCAGGCGTTGCGGGTTCGGCCCGGAAGTGGAGGTGGGCGGTGGGAAGCGTCTCCCAGAACTACCTCGACAACTGGTCCTACCAGCCGACCGAGCCAGATGGCTAGAGATGCTCCTTCTCCTCACTATTCTCCGAACCCAGCTCCCGGGTCTCCTCAGTGGACCCTGCCCATCAAGAACTGTGCACCAACCTGCCCACTGGACTACTTGTTGCTGGACTTCCTCAACGAGCGCCGCCAGCGTGCTGCCGAAGGCTTGCCAGTGCAGGAAGTGGTTGGCCCTCGCTACCCTTCCGTCTCTTCGCTCCTCAACCCGGCCAATAGTGCCTTCAGCCATCCCTTGTCAAAGGTGTTTACGGATATCTTATCCACGTTTCCGGACATCTCTACCTTGCCGGAGCGCATTGCTGTTCTTTACGTCATGTTCCTCCTCATGCGGTGGCAGATTTCTCCTACGCAGACGAACTGGGAGCGTCTCCCGGAGTGGTTTCGCCCTACGCATGGTCAACTGACCATTGATCATCCTGCCTGGGTCGATCACATACCATTCCCGGTGATGCGCGAGAAGATTGTACAAACCCAAGAAACGCATGAGATCGTTTTCGATAACTTCTTTATACCCTTCACCACCACGTTGAATCTCAGCTGGCCCTATGAGGACACAGACGCTCTTCTCCAGGGCCCAGACGGGGACGAGCTCGTGATCAACCCTGTCTTTGAGCGCCATCTACGAAATCTCAAAAACTGGAGTCTCGGCGAGCGTTTCGTCAAGGCTTATCCCTTTCTGGCCGAGGGCTGCAACGTCGGCCCCCCTCCATCAAGGCCACGATAGGATGTCGTTTTCGTTTAGTAGCTATTTAGTTGACCAACGTGTTGACTGTATCATGTTTCCCTTGTGGTCCTCATTTCGACGAGCGGACACGGCATTATAAAAACCAAAAAGGATTCTTACATTTGTTTTCTGGGTGGTACGGATGGTATTTGACCGTTCCTGGTTTGGGTTAACACTGGCCATGTATGGCATGAGAAGACGGCCGAGCAATCATGGAGTTTTTGAGAACCTTGTCAATTTCTTCGTCGTTTTCTAAAACAAAAGATGGTGTTATTTTTTTCTTCTTCTTCTTGAATCTACACACGTTAAAACCGTGACGCCCTGGGTGAACCGTCTCTGCATTTTATAGACCTTCTCCTTTGACCTCCCTGCCAAAAAAGTAACGCCGGGTGAATCCTTCACCATTTGACCTTGCTATTGCGCCAGTTAACCCCCCTTTTTAAGTGACGTATATACCCAGATGATAATCAAGCATCCAACTCCCGCGTGCCGAACGAGTACTTCCTCAGCCATAGCCCCTCACCCACAAACAGGCTCTGCGAGTTCTCCCCCGGCACCGTCTGGAACATGAGCGACTTGATCGGCATGCCCATCTTGCCGCGCGCCTCCATCGCCGGGCAGGCCAGCCGCCGGCCGGTGGCGAGGGAGAAGAGCCTCACCGTCCCGTCGTCCTGCGCCGCCGCGGCGATGCCCAGCTCGGGCGAGACGTCGAACCCGACGGCCAGGTGCGCGCCGTTGACGTACTCGGGGAAAGCGAGCAGGGGACCGGGGCGCGGTCTCGGCGGGGCGTTGTCGTCGTCGTTGCGGCCTCCTCCTTGCGGCGTGGGGAAGAAGCGGACGTCGTAGACGGCCATTGCGCTCTGGGGCCCGCAGACGAGGAGCTGGTTCTCCGAGATGGCGCGGAGGCGGGCGACGGAGCTGGGGTGGGTGATGTGGCGGCACGGCTCCGACGGCGGGGTGCGCGTGTCCTTGATCCAGACGCGGGGCTGGCGGCCGCCGGAGAAGATGATGTTTGGGTTGGTGGGGTGGAAGTCGAGGTCGAAGACGTCGCGGGGGGTTCTTGTGTGTTGGTGGGTGCGGTTGCGGTTGCGGTCGCTTCTGAAGGGGTTGTGGGATGTGATTAGGGAGACGGACTCGTCGGTTGCCACGCTGACGAGGCCGGAGTCGGTGGCGATGGCGCAGATTAAATGGGGGAGGGAAGGGGGCGCGGGTTTGCAGGTGTTGAGGGCGACGTGGTCGTGGCGCCAGAGACGGGAGAAGGAGATGCGCTGGTGGTTTGCGGCTGGCCATGTTGGTCAGTATGGTGTAGGCAACAAGAAGAGAGAAGCGAAAAGCAAGACCTGTATACCTTCTCCGAGAATCCAAGGCCCTTCTGTTCCACGACACCGAGGCGGCGAGAAGATATTCAAGCCGAGAGGATTACCTGGCTCTCTGGAGGTTAATAATATTCGGTGAGAAGCCTGATGGTACGAGATAGAGCTCATTTGCGAGCAACGAGTCGACTCTATGTATCTGACCGGTCGCCTCGGCGAGTCCAGAGGGACGTCTTCTCGAAACGAGAGTTTCCCGTCGTCATCCACTGGCAAATAGCTCCCAACCGGGGTTTCTTCGTCCACCGCTATATGCAGAGCCCCCCGTTAGCACAACTTCGACAATCTTGATATAGGAACGAGGAACATCCCAATATTGAAAAAGAGACGACCTACTCGTATAAGCCACGGCGGTCTCCAGCCCCTGCTCCTGGCCACCAATCCACAGGCAAGGCAGATGTCCGCTTCTCCTGTGATGTGACCCAAACCGCACCTCCCCCTTTGCTTCCAGGCCACCAGCCCAAGCCGCGGCCTTCAGGCTGTCTCCTCCCTCCCAGCTCAGATCATCACGTATCTCTCGCTTGAGAGTCCCCGATGCGACGGTGTGCTCCCAGAGCCTGTGTCGCTTGATGTGGGATCTGAGCTCCCAGTCACGCTTCCGCACAACCTCGCTGGCTTGATGCTCAACCTTGCGCCTCTTCACGGCATCCGAGGACCAAGTGGAAGCAGAAGGCGCCGTGGATGATTTTTCAACCTTGAAGTACTTTTTCTTTTCCTCATCTTTGGAGAAGAAAGGTCAGTCACTCCAGCTGTTCGCATGCGCGGTCGGACAGATACTTGCCGTAGTAATAGCCTGGGATTTGCAACATGTTGATGTTGGGCAATTTGATAATAACGGCATTACATTGCGTTGGGTGTTTGGCAAATATCAGACGTATAAAGCATCTGCTCTTCAAGCTGGTTAAAAGTGGATCCGATTTCTCTGAGTGTGATGCACAAGTTTACAGAACCCAAGAGGAAGAAATGATGTCATCACGTGATGGGCCAGTACTCCCCCAAAGTCAAAGTCACCAACCTTAGTTCTTGAGAGAGCAGCTTGATGAACCTTGATCATGGTTACATCTAGATGATTATGGGGTGATTCTGAAGGCAGGATGGCCAGCGTTGTATCATGTTGGCTTAGACGAGTGTTGGACCCCTAAATATAGGTTTGTTGTTGGACTCCAAGCACACGTAATAGGCACCTCGTATACTCCAGCCCAATCGTCATTACAATATTGGATATCGAGAGGTCAAAGTACATGCAGTAAGGTCACAGAAAGCATTGTAGGGTCAAAATGAGTGATGAAATCTTCTACTCAAGAGAATGATTTATTAATTTTTTTAAATTTGGCATTAAGTGTCTAAGTGACGTTCTCTAGGGATGCAAAGCGTCCACCTCAAACCGTCCTGACGCTTCTATACATTGGTAAAAGTCCAAATAATGCTACTAGGGACAAAGAAACAGAAACAATCCGGAAAGTCACGAGGGGTATGTAGAGCATTGCTTAGGTCGACTTCTCGTGCTGAGTCGAGACACGCTGGAGAGAGACAACTGGACAAACATGTTAGCATGTGAATGTAAGAATGGGTGATTGAAGAAATGTAACTTACCGAAGTCCTCAAGGGATCGCTGCTTCTGGGAACGCTTGGGCGACTTCCCGTGCATCAGGTTGTCGAAACCAGCGCTTCCCTGCATGAAGTAGTAGAGACCACCCATGACGGCGAAGATACCGAAGGAGTAGATCCAGATACGGACAACACCGGTGATGTGGGTGCGGTGGTCAGAGCCACGGAACCAACCGAAGATGGCGAAGAGGGAAGCGAGGATATCGACGACGAAGATGGCACCGGCCAGCTGCCACGAAGGAATGGAGGACCAGAAGGGACCGTTGGCACGGGTGATGAAGATCAGCCAGTTCTCAGTAAGGGAGACCTCAAGGAAGACAATCTCATCGATATCACCGTAGTTCTCAGTGATACCTCCGTAGTTGTTGCCAGCAGCGAACATGGTGGTGAGGGCAATCCAGGTACCAATGGCAAGGACGAAACCGAGGAGAACGGACATACCCCAGAGCTTAGGAAGGTTCCACTTGACGGGAGTCTGGGAGTAAGGAGCGTTGTCGTAGGCAATGGCCAGGGTAGCAATATCGGCGAAGATGGCAATGAAGACGATGAGGTTCAGGTTCAAGCTGTTGTTGAGGATGGCAATCCAGAGACCGAGGAAGATTTCCATGTGGAGGGACAGAGCGATACGGTAGACAACGTAGGCGTACATGCGGTGGAAAATCTGGCGGGAAGTCTTGAGGGCATCAATGATAGCACCGAGACCAGGGGCAAGGAAGACAATATCGGCAGCGGAACGGGCAGCATCGGAGGAACCTTCGACAGCAATACCGGTATCAGCCTTCTTCAGGGAGGGAGCATCGTTGACACCGTCACCAGTCATGGCAACGAGGTAACCACGCTGCTGGAGAATCTCAACGACGGCGTACTTGTGCTGGGGGAAAACTTCAGCGAAACCATCGGCAGCCTCAACGAAATCGTAAACCTCGGAACCGGGCATGTCACCACCACCACCAAGACCGAGACGCTCAGCGTTGTAGACGTTGGTACCAAGACCGAGCTGGCGGGAAGTCTCACGGGCAATACCGACGGCGTCACCAGTCAACATCTTGATGGAGAGACCGAGACGCTTGGCTTCGTTGATAGTGCGGGCAGTGTCGTGACGAGGGGGGTCAGAGCAAGGCATGATACCGAGAATCTCCCAAGCACCCTCACCACGCTTGCGGGCAACACCGAGAGAACGGAAACCACGGGTGGCAAACTCAGCAACGCAGTTCTTGTAGGCTTGGTCAATGTGCTCGGGGATGGGGTGGTCCTCCTCGACAGTCTTGAGAACGAAGAGAGGGGCACCCTTGACGCAGATGATGCGCTCACCCTGGGGAGACTCAACAACAGCCTGGACCTTCTTCGAGACGGGGTCGAAGGGGTGGAACTGGAGAACCTTGTACTTGGACAGAACGCTCTTGGCACGGGGGTAGAACTTGAGGGCCTTGAGGAAAGCCTTGTCGATAGCGTCGATACCCTTCTTCTTGCGGGAAGCGGCCAAGCAAGCAGTGAGCATCAGGTCATCGGGCTCAACACCCTGGACGGTGAAGGGCTCGGAGAGAGACAGCTTGTTCTTGGTCAGGGTACCGGTCTTGTCGGAGCAGAGAATCTCAACACCAGCAAGGGACTCAATGGCAGAAAGCTTCTGGACGATAGCCTGCTTCTTGGCGAGGTAGGCAGCACCGACAGCCATGGTGGTGGTGACGACAGCGGGAAGACCAACGGGGACACCGACAATGGTGATACCGAGGGTGAACTCCAGAATACGGACGATCTTATTGGAACGGTAGAATGAAGAAACCCAGACGATGAGGAGGGTGGCGACAACGAGGATCAGGAGAATGGTACCAATGCCGTTGAGAACCTCAGTGAAGTGACCAGTGCCACCAGCGGAAGCGGAAACGAGAGCAGCGGCACGACCGACAAAGGTGTTGTCACCAGTGGCAGTAACGACGATGAAGGCCTCACCACGCTTGACAGCGGAGGAAGAGAAGCACTCATCACCCTGGTGCTTGTCGACAGCGAGAGATTCACCAGTAAGAGCGGACTGATCGACCTGGAGGAAGGCACCCTCGGTGACGATGCGACCGTCAGCGGGGATAATGGAACCATCATCAACCTGGAGGATATCACCGGGAACGACTTCGTGGGCCTCAATCTCCTTCAGGGCACCATCACGGAGGACAGTGGCCTTGAGAGCGAGAGTCTTCTTGAGTTCGTCGACGATAGAACCGGCCTGGTATTCCTGGAAGAAACCGACACAGGCGTTAAGGAGCAAGAGACCGCAAATAACACCGAAATCAACCCAATCTTCGAGACCGGCAGCGAGAACAGCAGCAGCCTAAATGAGACACGACCTGTTAGCCAATTGAAACGCACGTAAACGAACACGGGTGAGCAAGACAGGCGACAAATTGCGATCGGTCGAGCACTATCGGATCGGCAGGCAGGGTAATGGGAGAAACAGTGGGGGACTGTCATCATGATGGATGCATCGAGACACACTCCACTGCGAGGCACTTTGGCCAGTGGGAAGAAATCTCTTGCAGCCCCACCCAACCAGGGAGCAGCTGGTGTGGAGAATGTAATCTTGCGCCGAAAACGCGCATTGACCACTAGCTCCAACCCAAACAAACGAGGTGTGATGCGAGAGCGACGCCCGGCTGCGCCAGCAAGGACCAATTGAAGTTCGCCGTATCGCGTCGCCAAGGAAATTTGGCCGAACTCAATTGACCGTTGCTGGTCGCCTGCACAGGAAGATGTCGCGAGGAAGGGAAAATGATGAAAGCAAGCGCAAAGGATGGATGCGCCACCAAAGTGTGTAGTGGTAAATGCAAAAGCAATGATCAGAAACTTACCTCCATGACGAACTGAATGGGACCAATGAAGAAGCCAAGGAACTTGAGAACCAGGTTCTCCTTGTCCTCCTTCATCTGGTTGGAACCGAACTTGCGGCGACGGGCGACAACCTCAGACTCGGTCAGACCAACACGGGAGTCGGTCTGGAGCATGTCCTCGGGGATGCGGCGAGCACCACCGACAGCGCCCTCCTCCTCTTCTTCGAAGTCGGCGTGTCCATCTTCGGACTCGAGGTCCTCGATCAAGGCATCAATATCCTCGTCCTCCTCTTCATCCTCGGCAGGAACCTCCTTGGTAGGCTGGGCGACGGCGCCCTGGGCCTTCTTCTCGTCGAAGCCGCCGTGCTCGATGGTCGTGTCGAGCGCAGGAGCGCCGACATCCTTGGAATCAGCCATGGGGGGCTTAGGGAGAAATAGAGCTCAGCGAACTAGGCGAGCCAACTGATATAGAATAATAAAAGGTGGCTGTAGGTGTAGGTAGGAAATGCCGCTTTGCTCTATACGAGCTACCTCTAGGTAATAGCACAGGAGTAAGGTGTGGTGTTGTAGAGGTAGAGTGGAGAGGTGATGAGGATGGAGGGAGGAAGAAGTGTCGCAGCACCGCACGAAGAGAGAGGGTTGCTTATATCGACAACATTCGTGGGTGAGGAGAAAAAAGAAGAAGGAAGAAACTTTGGACCAAGGTCGGGCGGGAGCTTCTATTTCAATGCCTGCGCACTTTACTCTGAGAAACAGCGAAGCCAGCCAGCGCCATACAAAAATTCTGGAGCACATGTCCCAGGAGGTACCTCCACACTGTACCTGCCGGGCTCGATTCGCCTTCTGCCCCCTGCCTGCCCACCTTGGCCTGGGGATACATAGTACTTGTTCGGCTCAAGGCGGGCGGGCGTGTGGTGGTGCGTGCGTGCGTGCAGGCAGTACGAACTGTGCTGACACCCACACTGTGCCCACCGTCAGTGAGGCTTTTCATCACATCCATCCTCAGAGCCAAGGCACGGCACGACTCGAACAGACAAGTCATGTACTGGGGGGCGAGACACGGTAGGCGGCGCCGGCGTGGAACTCGCCGCCAGAGAGCATACGTAAAAGTCTACCCAGTAGCCAATTGACAAATTTTCAGGCTGTAAGTTCCCCTATCACGCCAATTGGGCGTCTGCAGGTTCACGGTGTTGTCCGCGAGGCTCTACCGGCTTAAACCTTTGTTTACACGACCTCGGGCGGTCAAAGTTCGAGCCAGAGTTGCCCTGCGATAGCGACTCCATTGTGCCCAGGCGCACAGTGCCAGGAGCGCAGTGAGAAGGGCGACGGGGCGGCTACAGTATGAGCTACATTTCTGAAGGGCTTTGCGCAAGCACTACTACTGGGCCAGGAACATGCCTGGGACACTCGCCAAGGTGCCTCCTGGAGCGTGTAAACAAGTCCCGTCATTGTCCTGGCCGGAGACAGCCCGGTCCAAATCAGCGACCAGGGAGTCGCTCGCTCTTTTTTTTTCCCTCGCGCTTTCGTTACCCTAGCTGCCGGGCCTATTAGTTAATTCCCTCTCGCGATCAGTCATGACTTTGCTAGCTAGCTACCTGGGTTCCTGGTCCCAGCTGGGGCTCTTGATGCACGTCGCCGCCAACAGCAGTGCACTCCAGGTCCACTTCCTAGTGGCATCTCCACTGGCCGTGCCCCTGCTCCACCCGAGAATTCGGCAGGCATTGCCCTCCATCAGCCAGTGTCACCTTGCCGACTTTCCCTCCCCCCCCAGCACCAGCAGCGATGCGCGAGCGAGAGCGCGACTTTTCCAGCTCCCACACTGTGATCTCGCTAGGCCCCAGGGCGCCCAGTGTGTGTGAGAGCCAGCTTTTTGGCTGAGGCATTTTCGACGGGGCTTTTTTACGCATGGCCAGGATTGGCCCAATGACGACACCTCTTCACCTACACTCGTCCCCAGCCCGGCAGTAGTGATGGATTCCCTCAATGGGATCGATCAATGTACTGTACCTGGTCCTAGCATGCAAGAGGCGAGGCCAGGCCAGCAGGAAAAAAAAATTGCCCACCCCCATCACGGAAGAGGCGATCTAGTGAAGCGTCCGGAGCCGGTTCTACCGCGCCTGCGAAGCCAAAGTCCCACGACGCTCCGCGGTGATGCACAACGTCTGAGAATTGCCCTGTGCGCCATTGGCTGCCCAGGCGACCATCCCATCCCATCCCATCCCATTGATGAATGCAAATGATGACTTTGCTCATTCGGCCGTGCTGATCATGTACCCTCCTCCTCCTCCACTGGCTCGCAACAGGGCCACCGAATGCGAATCCCAAACCCGACATGGTCTAGCACAGTGGGATCCATTCATTAACTGGTGGTGTCGGTTGTCACCACCTGTACGCTACCAACGGATTGCGGTTCGAGAAGGGCGGCTGTTTTCTGAAGGCAGCCGGTACATACCCTACGCACTTGGATGAAATGTATGCTCGTCTGATTGATTGTCCCGTGTAAAGGGCAGGGCGAGACCACGAGACGTTTAAGCTGGTCTTGTCTGAAAACAGCCATTAAGCTTGCTACGAAGGTTGATACCTGTCCCAGACAACACAGAACTCAGCCGCCTTCGTGTGCCCGTTTGTCTCAAGTGCCAATTGCTTCTTGCTACGACGCTCGCAGAGCTATGAATCATATGGGCCGATGCTTGTTTATATTTGAGTCATCCCTGATTTCTTGGCTGACTGAGACGATGGTGCTTCGCAAAAGGCTCCAAGACGCTTATCAGGCTCTCCCAATCCCTCGCATATGTCGCGTGATTCCGTCAATATTCCAGGCAACTAGCACCAGAGGAAAAAGAAAGCAAAACGGGGTCACAGCTAGCAAGAGGCAGAACAGCAGATGCATGCAGCCAGCGAAGTAGTAGAGCGCGGGATGCGGAGATCATACCTCGATCCGCCATGGGGCCATGTCAATTTGCGGGCAAGTAGGCACAACTACCCAGCATCTCTCAGTTCAACTCCAACTTCTCATCACAGATCCCGGATCTCGTCCGAGTCTATGTGGAGGCTCCGGATGGTCGCGTCCTACGCCAACGGCGCAACTGGCCTAACCTATTGCACTTGGCTCTCCCTCTCCTGAAATCGAAATGAAACAATTTCAACAGAGAGGCAGCCGATGACGCGGTGGTGAGGCACAATGTTTCTGGTTAGATTCCAGACGTGCACACCATTTTCCATCGCACAGTCGGTGCTTGACTCTTGCGCTGGCTGCGCACGGGAGTGGGCGAGTGTGTCGCGACGTCGTGGACGGAATTCATCGGCATGGGAATTTCAAACAGGCAAATCGAAGGCCGATGAGCTTATCAATAGCGCCTGCAGGCCATTCCCGAGTTGGGAAATATCTCACTGTGCGAAACACGGTCCCGAGCTCGTGCCGGTACCAGCCTTTTCGGCCACCGCCCTTTTTAGTGCCCATTTCCCACTATGGAGCACTGTAGCCCCTATCAACTAGGCGGCTGACCGGCGGTGATCCCCCCGACTGCCATTTGAAGATTGAACATTGATGACCGCCACCTCGAAGATCTGTGCTCGCCTCTGTAGGACTTACATGCAATTTGGTAAGATGGTCTGGAGGATAGTACAGAACTCTCATCACGAGGCAACCCCCATGTCTTCTCTGTATGCCCGGGTCGCCTTCACACCACCGGGAAACACGATAATTGCCTCGCACGAAAGGAAACCGATACAGCTGTGATAAGGACGCAGGAAAGATTGAATGTCAGGGTCTTGCAGGTAGCCGCCCCGGCCCCGACCCACGGGAACGAGGACTCAGGTCGTCCCCCCCAGATCAAGTCACCCAATTGAGCTGGCTGAGGGAGAGAGAGACTTGGCGGTTTGGCTAGTCAAGGCGCATCGCATGTAAATGCGACTGACAGCCTTCATCCACGGCAGCCTAGTGTGGGGACCACCTAGGCTGAAAGCTTCTGGAAGCCGGGTCCGGATCGGCTGGGGATGTACTAGTCAACTGCCTCAACAATGAGAAAAAAGGGGAGGCGAAAAAAAGTTTGACCATCTGAGCGGTCAGACAATCCGCTCTCCGTCGAGAAAAGTATGGGACAATACGTCACCCACGGGCAGCGCGACCAGGCCAAGTCAATACTTCAAACTCGAGTCGTGGGGAGAACATGGAAATCTACGCCAGGCACAGAAGGACCCTCGTGGGCATGGAGGGACTTGCAGGCCTCACCCCAAGGACTAGTTCCGGTTCTCCAAGCTGAAGGACAGCCAGGTGGGCCATCCATCCACACAGTCTTCACTCTTCACGAAGCGCACACGCCTCCTCCAACTCGCACCCCCGAAAGCCAGTCCAATCCCTGGTCCACCCGACGTCATCGCGATCCTCCCCCAGAACTGCGACTGGCCTTGGGCCAATTACCGCAGGCGGTCAGGTTCTCTCCGACCAGTCACAGGCCGCCAATTGGTATCTCTTGTCGGCCACGCCGTGGGGGTGGAGGCGTGGTAACGGTACCTGTCCTGTCCAGAAGGGTCCAGAACTAAACAATTTTTTCTCGCCGGGAGCCAAACAAGTAGTCGCTGTTTCATCAACAAGAGGCTTTTTTGGGTTCCTCTGAGCGCCGCCCTGCTTATCAGCCTGGCTTTGTTCGTTGGCGTCAGCCGGCTAATTGCGATGGATGCCATCTTTTTTATCGCGCAAAAACAGGCAGGCCCATGAAGATCAAAGTACCCTTCCAAGCAGCTAACCTGCTAGCCATGCATGGATATTCAATGGCAACAGCAATGGCAATGTATGGCAAATGGGCATGTGAGCCGTGGAGTTGCAAAGCATCGGTCAACCACGTTTCTTTTCTTAGGTGAGCCTTTTTCTGTCTTGGCTAGCCACCTTGACCATCTGGTTGGCCCGTCCTTTTTTTTTTTTTTTTTTTTTTTTTTTTGCCTCCACGGACACACACGGTAATAATTAGTTACATACTTGCGCTGAGGGAAAGACGCAATTGACGGGAGGCGCTGAGCGACTTTCTCCTAGGTCATCAAAGTTACTCCATACGCACTACCTACTCGCAGGTAGCTCCGAAACAAAATCGCGCCGAAACAACCGCCCCAGACACCTCCGTCGAGACCGCCTCGGCTTGCTCGAGTTTTTAATTACGCAGGACGAGAAATCTCCGTAGCGATATTTTTCTGGATTTAGCTCTCGTGTCGGTCCAGTCTATCTCTGGTCGCCGGCACCCGTCGCGCGCCTCAGCCAGCCCCAAGACGATCGGCTTCGGCACCAGGACCCTGCTGCCTCGGGAGAACATCCAGAGCAACATGTCCAAAGTGTCCACATGGACTGATCCCATTTGCAATTGAGGTTCTTTTTGCATCGACATTGCAATAATGTCCCAATATTTCCGAATCTTGCCGCCACATCCAGTGTCAGATGTGGTACCCAGATTTTTATCTCCCGCCGATCTTCCCTCCACGCCATTTTGACCGACAGTGCCGGTCCGGCACCGTGGCAGAGCGCGCATTGGACGGGAGCGGGCTTTATGGTTGACACGACAACGACCGACTCGAGGATGCAACCAGAACAAGTGCTGGAGCAAGCTATTACACGTATTACGTACTCCGTAGAGGTTACACAGCCTGCGATGACATGACCCAAAACCGTACGTAAGAATGCCAATGCCATGGTCAGCGCCAGGCGTTATCTGGCGTTGATAGTGAAGACCTCCTGTACATCACCAATCCAATTGAAGTTGGTGCGACTGACCCTCACCTTGGAGGCCATCAACACGCTCCAATTGACCCAAACAAATAAAACACGTAGGGCGCGCCGCCAGAACCGAGGGTGCGATTTTAAAATTGAGGTCGACTTTTTTGCGGGGACCGCTGAATATCCATCGAAAGCCTCCATCCAGACTGCGACGATGGAGGAGGAAGGGTCCTGACGGATCTGCTGGGGCCCTGTCCGCCTCACTACTGTACCTGAAATGGAGCGTCATCTCTTCATTTCGCCAGCGGCGCCAGTCGAGATTCAATGCAGCGAGGATCGTAGGCCCTGCCAGAATAGGAACCTCGACGTAGCAAAGCGCGCAAGGCCAGAGAGCTAAGGGTACTATGTAGGCGGATGATAATTTGGCGATGGGGGCATGAAGGTTACCTGCCCACATCTTAGATTGCAGATCTACCTGGTACATGCGGTGACACAGAACCGTGATCGCGGTGGAAAATCACTCGCCCACAATACGTACGTAATATCGTTTGGGGGAAAGAGATCAGATTAGTCGTCCGCCTCTCGTGTTATCTGGCCACTTGACCATTCCCATGAGCAAATCATGGCCTGGAGATTACAAGTCCCATCGTCGGATTACCCAATTGGCTCACTCACGCCGAGAGCGAAGGCCCTGCTATTGACGGCCCCCAATCTCAGACAAGACCAGGGACGCTCAGTAGCCCGGATCCATCGCTCCATCTTTGTAGAGAGACCGATTCATCCGGTGTAACAGCGAACAATGGAGCTTCCGTTGCCTGCGCTCCAGGGCTCCATGAGTGTCGGCATTTCTTATGCCGCTCTCTCGCGAGTCGCCTCTCGGTTGGAGGTGCTCGCTCCGAGACGACCAAATTGCATCACGGCCGTGGCGGAGCTTGAATTGGTCTTTCCCGGCCGCCATGGCCCATTCCCTCTACCTCGTGTATCTAATGTCAGATGTCTCCAGCTAGTTTCTCATCGACCTCCCCCCCTCTTCTCCCTCTCCAAGTCGCAATGTTCCAGTCTGAGCCGAGTCATAGACAACGTGGGGAGCACGAGGAATATTCTGCACAAAAACTCTGCTCCCTCCGTTGATCCTTACCTGAAGCTCCGGCGCCGTGCAATGGGCGACCTTGACGATCTTTGCGGTCGAGCTCCCACAGGCAGCAGCTTTCTCTCTCGCCTCACAGGCTCAGACAGAGCCCTGCCAGACAAGGACCATCGACGATTTGACGCCCGCCTCGGTCCGGTGGGGAACCCAAGAAATGTCGCCTAGATGTTGTGCATCCCCAATGCACAGACGGTCGGCCTGTGGGTAGCCTCGCTGGATGCCTCAATTGGAGACTCAGTCTTTGTACGCCGAGGCACGAAACGCCCACAGCCTCGTCCTCCTCGTCAGCAAAGAAACTGACTGCTTTGCGCTACGTCACCCTTGTTCCGTCCGCGAGCGCGAGCGAGCACGCACAATCCTGTTCTGCATCGAGAGGCGAAACAGAGAAACATCATCCTTTTCGCCACGATCCCCAACGCATGTCACAGCTCCAAAGGACCCTGCACGTATCTGTACAAGGGGGGCCTAACCTAACCGGCCCTTATTTACCTGGCGAGACCCTGGGCAGAGCAGAGTGCGAACCCGAGGCAATGAGAGTTGAGGGAACGAGGCTGGGACCACCACACACCCACACCAATCCAACCCAATCCAATCCAGTGCCTACGCAGCAATTGAAAAGCTGCGAGTCACAAGGCCCTCTTTCGTCGTGAGGAATGCCGGCCGCAAGACCAAAAGCCCCCCCTTCCCCCCCACCTCCATTGTGCAAGGCGGTTTCAAAGTCGCAATCCCGTCAGCGATTGGTCACACGGCTGGCCCGTTTGTTAGACAGGACTGCGTCTGCCGGCGTACCGCTCCAAACCCAAATTTTAACCTTGAATCAGTGGTCGGCCGATCCAAGAAGGAGAGAATTCGTGTCACATTCCCGCGCGCTCGACATCGCACAGAGCGAGGCTGTTGGTGTAAGATGTGTCTTTGCTAGTGACTGCCGAATCTGACATGACCAGACCCTGTGCGTGCACGTGTGAATACTTTTGTTGTCCCGCTTGGTTCTTCCGGTAAGAGGCACGGGAATGACGCTGCGAACTGAACTGGCTCGTTTCAAAGTACTTGTTGCCACGGGAGACAAACCCAAAAGTCGGAGGCTGGCCCCTCCCCCAAGGTTCTACGCATTCGTATACGTACACGCACTCTTTGTGCTACTCGACCCCGTTTCCTCCTCAAGAGCGAGGATTGGGGGGTCGCAGTATGTGCCGCATCTGGGTTTCCTCCCCCCGTCTCGGCTCCGCGTGGTTGACACATTGCCCATCGTAACAAGTAACTCCCCTTGGTCCGTATCTGGGATGGGAAACAGGGTAGCTCTCGATTCCAAGGTTCAGAGCCCGGTCATCCTTGCAAGCAGAGCGAGGAAATTCCCCGAGGAGAAGGGTTTCATGAGGGGAATGTGCCGCAACAGGGTAGGCTGGCGGTGGGTGACGTTGAGGCAATTCAAGAGACGTGCATGAAGGGCTGATCTGCCTCGTGGTCTGGACCTCATGGAACCCATCCGCGAGCATGGGCGGTCCTCCCCAACCAAATCCTGTGCGTGGGATGTGATGGGATTGGCAGGGGGTGAGCAGCCCAATTGACGCTCCCACACGATATGTCTCGACTTATTATATCACGGTTTGTTATCGTACAGTTGTTGCGTGGCATTTCAAGTTGGTGGAGTCAAGTCCATCGGGATTTGATACTGGTTCGGATAAAGGTGTTTCAGCATCTACATGTGCACCTATTCAAGCTCTGTTGATGCCATCTACGTATTTCACTTTTCACCAATGTGATAGATTTCAATAGTCACATGGATACGAAAGAATTAAATTGCGGTGTAGTAATAATAAAAAACCTCTGTCTCAGGCCGTGGCCGTAGCAATATATGCATGCGCAGTTCAAGATCAAGTTCCCCTCCCTTGTATGCCCAGTGGATAGTACAGCCCAGTATCCCGACCAACTCCGTATAATAGCACGCTCAAAACCCCAATGCAACTTAAAAAGAATCAACCCGAGAAAGCAGCCTTGTGTGTGTTCGTTCAAGCTGTGGTGCTGCGTGTCAAGAAAAAAAAAAGCGGTAGTAGCGCGTGGCGGCCGCAAGCCATTTTAGCAATGTGATCAGTCAACTCAGGCTTCAAGCCCACTTTCCACCATTAGCGGAAGGGTCTGGGAAAGAGAAGCCTGATGGGAAGTTTGGCATGCCGTTGGGCAAAGTGCCGATGCCGAATGGGAATCCTTGGATGGCAGGCTGGTTTTCATCACCAATAGCGTCACCGCCCTCCTGGCCGCGGCCTCTACCCCATCCATCGTCGCGATTACGAGTTGACTTGGGCCCGTTTGCGCCGCCCTTGTCGGTCTGCATACGCCGGCTGATCGCCTTGGAGGAGACACCGGCACCAATCTCAATGTCAGGCTCCTCAACAACAAGTCCAGTTGCGATCGGCCGGCCGCCGCTGCCACCGTGGGGGGCCGTCAACATCCATTTACGGTCGGCCTCCGTCAATCTGTTGATGGGAATGATGCTAATACCAGTTCCGTAGTCACTGCAGTCTCTGGGTCCAAAGCCCACACCCCACCGTGTCTAAATCTTCAGGTTAGTATCTTGATAGTAAGGCATGGGAACGTGATCGAAACATACTCGAAGAGGTATCTCTAGCCCTCGGTTGTCTTCTGAGCCATCCTTGGCACTGATGGCATCCTTACGAGTCAACATTTTGACGAATGCATGACGCTTGTCCTTATTTACGATACAAGTCTGCACAGTGCCAAATCGGGCGAAAATGTTGCGCAATTCGGCTTCGGAGCATCTATGCGTTGTTAATAACAAATCATCGTCGTGTGTATAAGGATATTGTTCACTTACGTTACTCCACCGACAAAAAGGGTTCGGCTGAGGACTTTGATTGTACCCTGGGGGATATTGGGATCATAGTCAGTCCACTTCTCCCCATCAGGAGGTGTTTGGCCACGACGCCGAGGCGGACTACGCGTTCGATAGTCGTTTCCTCTGCGATCCTCATCGCGGCCTCGAGCAGGAGAGTTGCGGGCATAGTCCGTTCTATCACGTCCACTACGAGGTGACCCACGACCACCCCAGCCTCGATCGGGAGACCGAGACCGGGATCTATCACGATATCTGCCAGGAGACCTCACTCCTTCTTTATACCAGTCACGGCCACCGTCTGGCTTTGGTGGTTGTGCCCCCCATGATGGTTGGCCAGAACCATACGTACCATTGGGAGCTGGGACTGCACCTTGTTGGGCAGTGCCCGTCGCACCAGGGCCGGCAGCGCCTGGATTCATGCTCTGAAGCAGGGCCGGGATCTTTTCAAAGGGCACACCTTGATCAGCGAGGGCTTTGATCAGCAATATCTGCTGTTGGGTATTGGGATCTAAGGCCCCTCCCGTGGGCGCTGAGCCACCAGGAAACTGATTATTGGGCATATTCGACGAAGCACCAGCCATGGACGCGGTCACCTGTGCGAGGGAAAATGGGAGAGAGGGGGGCAAGTTTACAGCAGGCTGTGAAGTAGGGGGGTATGATGCTGGGGTTTGCATATGTAGCGACGGCTGGGCCATCGTTGACGAAACAGGCTGTGGAAGCCCGGTGACCGACGGTGGTACATTATACGATGCTGCCGGTGCGGGTAAGCTTGATGAAGCTGGTGGAGCAGTAGTATTCTGGCGAGCAATATTTGCAAGAGCATCCAGGATGGATTGGCCGTTCTGGGCTGGGGCCGCTGGGGGGGCAGACACGGGCTTCTGAAGCGAAGCGATCAATCCAGCAGGAGGACTTCCGGGAGGTGTAGTCGATACCTCTGCGAGACGTTAATCAAACCATCCAGTTGTAATTGAGGGAAGAGAGAAGGGGCTAGCAATGCGGGAAACATACTTGAGTGTGGAGGAGCATTCAACTTCTCCTTGAAGGACTCTAACATAGAGGCGGGGAAGGTCTGTCCCTTCTCCCAGATATCAAGCAGCTTTTTAATTTTCTCCTACAGATGACGCGTGTGAGTCTCTATTCATCAAGGGAAGTGGTGGCATCAGCAGGGAGCTGTCAATCTAAGATCAGTCCCAGAGTCACGAGAGTACGTTAGAACTCTTTGGCCAGACTCGGGCGGCTATTCAGGTCGATTGGCATCTCCACACGATGGACGAAACGATACATGGGATGTGTAAGAAATCATGTCAAAGTGCCGAAGCGCGCATGCGTACCTTTTGCTCTTCAGGAGCGGTCTGAAGTATGTCATTCATCAGTACAGGCATCAGTTCCGTTACTCTGTTGACACCGGCCCCATATGTGCCGTCTGGCGCCGAACTGTTTACTGCTTGTCCTTGAGCCTTGGCTTGCTCGAGCCATTTGCGGGTTACGGAGTCTACAACGTAAAGAACCCCCAATTTGTGTGTTCCCGGTGCCTTTTTAAAATGTGTGAAAATCTTCTGGATAAGGACGGATTCGGACTGCGAGTCTTTGTTAGTACGTGTCATGAGGTCGTTGTTGGTGCCTTTGGCACTTTGGCACGGGCGGGACTAAAAACATGCCTGAATATTTGCGACACATAGAGTGGTCAAGCTGGTGATCCGAGATCCAGATACTCCGGGAGGCTTCAAGTTTAGCATGGCCTGGAGGCCGGCTTCTAAGTCTGCCACCGCGGATGCCATGGTTGAAAGTTATGCTATGTATGCCACTGGTCACGCCAGAGAGAGGTATACGGGGTTCCGTGTATGGAAGTCCAAGTACAGGCAGGCACTGGCTGATGTACGTTTTCGCTGCTAGGATATTCAAATGAAGCCTTTTCGGCGGTCACCTGCGATGGCCGAGCCACTATAGAATAGAATATGTGCGATTCTGTCTTTACACGTCCACGCGTCAAAGGGTATTCTTTTACAGTCGCCAAGAGGCCTGTACGAGCGCTAGATCGAATATATTCGATGTCGTTGATAGTTTTCAAGAGGTACGAAATGTGCCAAGGAAACCTAGCTGAGGCGTCGAGAGAAAAGTGTTTCTTTCTACGAATGCGTCACGCGCACACGTCACCGCGAAAAGAAATGCGCCAAGCACAGAGGGTGTAGCGGAGAGAGAGAAAAGAAAATAAATGTAGGCGTAGTGCTTGGAGCGTGTATTAGCGAAGAGAGCAGTGTTTGCCTCGTCAAGCACGTAGTTTCGCGCGTTGGATGGTGGTGGTTTGGTTGATGAA